TAAGGGACCTCAGGGGGACAGCAGCAATGTGGGACTGTCCCCAGCAGGATGGGTGCCAAACATCACTGCAGCATCACCAGCTCTGCCTCATCCTTCCTGAGTCTCACCCTGCCTTTTGCAGACCAATTTTTTACACCAATTAGTGTAAAACTAATAAGCATCATTTTTATTTCATCATCCAGGTAATTAAAACATTGAAGTGAACCAGATCAAGGACAAACTTAAGGAACATTGTTCAACAGCTCTTTATATTGAAGCTAAGCAGTAAGTGGTACACTGAGAAAATGAAGCCACGCTGGTGCTGGTGCTGCAGGTTCATGCTTTGAAAACAGCTTTGCATAAATCAAGATATGACATTTTCATCATCCTCTAAGTGTTGAAAAAGCTGATGGGGGCACTTCAGGTGACACTGCACAGGATGGAAATATCCCACTGCTGTGACTGCAGTTATGGTGGGAGAGCAGCAGGGTCATCACAGCTAACAGGAATTACCCAAAGATCTTTTCTGCTACACAGCTCTCCCCCAGAAATAACTTTTATTTATAACTTTTATAAATGCTTTTTCCTTTCTGAATTTCCCTCACTCCTCACCCCACCCTATCCCCTTCATGCCCTTCCATTGTTCAGCAGTTTATTACACTAATTAGCCTTGGAAAATTAAGCTACAGGAAAGTAAGTCACATTAACAATGGTTTGTAAACTGTGACAAAAGGATTTCCCCATCCACAGCTCGAGTGTTTGTTTCCTTTATGTTGAGAGGGCAGGATGGAAGCATGACTGAAATGTCTGAATGCAAATGTCTGGAGGAAACACATGGAAATGGACCCAGAGGAAAATTATTTTTCAAGTCTGGAGATGAGGACAATGGGATAAACTCCTCCCTAGAAAGGAAAATGGTTCATGGTTGTGTACCAAGAACTGCAGAGAACAAGAGGCTGCAATGCTCTGTGAGTTGTAATGAACTCCAACACACAAAGACAACTGTTCCCACTCTGTGTCTCTCTGTCACTAATTAGTTCGTTATTAATGCACTTCCCAGACCTCACACACAGCCTTCCCTGTGAGCACAGCTCTGATTGTTCCACCTGGCCAGAAATGTGAACAATCCTTGTGCTTCAAAAGGCTCCCAAGGCTTAGAAGCCACCTTACAGCCAAGAGCTCTGCTGGGAAAGTTCTCAGCATCCCCTTAAAAAACCCATCAAAACTGAGGTCCAGGGCTGGAAAATTCATCATCAACATCCCACCACTACTGTCAGCTAGTCCAGCTCTGAGAGATGACAAGCAGAAAGTGGAATCATTAATTTATGTCTAAAAATTGATTTAATATCCACAGACATGGAAAGAAGACTACTGAATAAAATTTTCAGTCTGTAAATTAGCAAGCCAAGTGCATGACAAATATTTGTATTCTTGTATTTCAAATTCACACAAAGAGATGGAGCTTCAAAATGTTATTTCTAAAACAAGTTTAAAGTAGATCTTACCTCAACAGAGCATCGTGGAGTCACAAAGAACTGATTAAATTCATCAGGACTGAACTCCCCAAAAATATACTAAAAATAAAAGAGAAGGATTTTTGTTAAAGAACTATTTATATTCAATACAATCAATAAAATCATATTAAAATCCATTAGGATACTAGAATTCAAAAATACCCATGTGCTAGGAGTCAGAAACTCTACCTTGCATCCCAACTCTAATCTTGGTTCCTTCCTACATCTTTAGCAAGGAACTTTAGGCTCTGAAAGTGTAAACAAAGCATTTTCCTTCAGATTCCCACTGGAGGTGATCACAAACTGCTTCTCATCCTGAGACCAGTTTAAAACCACGTTTGGGTGCAGCTGCATCAGTTCATGGTTTGCCTTCTAAACCCCCCCTCAGCAAATGAGAAAACACCAGGAATTATCTCTCCAGAGCTGTGCTAAATGAGGAGTTACACATGACTGAGTGTACCTGAGGCACAAAGAACTGAAACTGCTCAGGTTTAGGAAAACACACAAAAATCATCAATTCTGTTATTCCTGTGCCTGAAACTCTCCATAACAAACCTAAAATAAAACATCTTTCCCCAACACTTTCCTGCAGCTTTTCAGATACTCTGCATCTAGACACTCTCTGGAAAAAGTACCTAACGAGGTCACAAAGAAAATTACACTAAATGAGAACTTTAATTTACAGAAAACAAAAGATTGCCAATCAAAAGGCCTGAGCTGTTGGCAACTCCCAGCACCTGGAAGTTTCTATAAACTCCCACTCCAGCTGTAACTGAATAACACCCAAACATTGAGGACAGAAAGAAGTTAAACAAGGAGCTGAATAAAGTGAGAAAACAGACAAAGAGGATGAAAAGCACTCTTGGCACGCAGCAGGTCAGCCTGGCCAGCACAGCACAGCCCCCACTCCCATTTATCTCCCTGCTCTCCCGTTCTGGACCATTCCCTGCTCTCCTCCACCCTCCCACCAGCAAAGCTTTTTCAGCATTTTGATTCTTGCTCGTGGTAAATCTTTAGCTTGGTTCTATTGACACACAACAAACCAGAGTGGGAGCTGAGCCAGAGAAAAGAATTCCCAAAATCTGGGAAATATCTCTTGTGAAGCGCAGGCGGCTGCCACACACAACAGCCCAGTCCCAGGGGTTTTATTTCCAGACCTGAGGTGGTTTATTCCAATGGAGTTTGTGTTTACATGACTCACAGCCATCCACATTCAGAAATCTCACTGCTTCACTGAAAGCCAAATTCCTCAGCAATTCCAAACCATCCTTTTCTTACACAAAAACTGATTTATACACACACCACTTTCACGTGTGCCCATTTCAGTGGCCTTCAGGTTTTTTAAAAAAAACCAGAAATGTGATCTGGTTTAGACTACAAACAACTCAGTCAAAACAAACGGGAACATCTGTGATTCAAAGGGTGAAACACAAACATTTCATGCTTCAAAATCTCTTCCCTCAGCCAAGTGCTGCCCACCAAGGGAGAATCCAACACCCAAACCCAACAAATCCCTAAATTGTACCCAACTCACAGCTCCTGGCACAGACTCAGGCTTGGTTTATACTTTCTGCACAACCAAGGCATTTTTATTCAGAACATATGAACTAGAATTTATCACAGTCCAAAAACAAACTGAAGAAAATCACTTGCTGACTCATCACTAAATTTATGTTTTAGGAGGTATTTTTGATGCTGTCATGCCACAGAACAAAACATTCATCTCAAGGGTAGTCTGTTAAAAGTGATATAAATCCAACCCTAATTTCTCCATCTAATAATATGATACAGTCATTTCATTAACCAGCATTTTTAAGCAAAGTATCACAGGCCTGGTACTTCTTTCTGAGCTTCTTTTTTAATGAGGAAACACAAAACAAAAATTGAATAAAGTGATCATTAATACTGTATTAATTAACTGTTTTAATGGGGTATTCATACAGAGAAGTTTGTGTCTATGCAACTCTTCCTGTGGAATTTAAAATATATTTACCAACATCTCATCCTAGTCAGACTAAAGCTCAAAATCCCCATCCCATTTGGCCTTGAAATAAAGAGAATTTGATCTGATTTGTTTTTATTTACCAATGCATATTTACACCAGCATTAAGTCAGCAGCTGAAAGATCCCTGTGTGATAACTGAGAGAAATGATGTTTCAAAATAAACTTAAGGCCCTGATGATGATATCAGTGCTTAAACTAAAGAGTGATGACATTAAACCGCCCAGTTTAAGCCACCTCCTCTGCCTGCAGCCATCCTCATCTCCCCAGAAATAACTTCTGCAAGCTGGACAGAATTTTCCACCCTTTTCGAGACACCACTGTGCACTCAGTGAAAGAGAACTGTGATACCACATCCCTTGGCAAGTATAACAACCCCTACCAGAAAAAGACAGGATTCAGAGGGAAAAAATGTATTTTAAGCAATTTGAAAGATACTGTAACTCCCTGCCTGCTGTGCATCCATCCACCCCAAGGAATCAGTGTGCCTGGCACTCTGTAAGACACCTGTGTAAGAAAATACTTGTTTAGTTCTAAAACAGCATCAGCATTGCTGCAGTACTTACCCTGTATCATTAATTCAAATTTTGAAGGTTTTACAGCATCTTAAATGCCCAAGTAATAAGAAATTTTAAGCAAGAGCAGACTAAGATCTAATAAAAAGTACCACACTCTTACAAGAATATCCTTATTATCAGCATGAGTTCTGGAGTCCTACCTTGTTTGCACCCTCAAAATTACTCCAACTAACCTCAAAATTCTCAAAGCTGCCTTCTTTCCAATCTGACAAATAAAATCTAATGCTTGGCACATTAAACATTTAATTAAATTACTTACACGAGCTACTCACAGTCAGCATTAATTTCTCCCCCACTTTATAAATAACATTTTAACACATGCCACAGATACATCAGCACGTGTTAAAAGCTTGGCCAAACTCATTTCTGATGATTTCAATTCCAATTTTAGTATTTTCAAGCGTGTAAGAAACACACACCCATTACAACTGCATCAGACTGATGCCTTTAATGCCCCACACTGTGCCAGCCTCTGGTCCTGGGTGTCCCAGCACCTCAAGGTCCCAGCAGGGGTAACAGCCAGACTGAGAACAGTGGCAGTCAGACAGAGCCAGCCCAGGGCCAGCCCTGGAGCAGGTGAGAGATTGTGCAGTGCTGGGGAGAAGCTGCTTGTGCTGCTCCATCGCTGCTGGGCCAAGGCAGCCACAGCCTCTCCTGCACGGCCCTGAGGGCAGGACGGGC